TCACGGGGGTCGCCAAGCAAGGCTGTCCGCCATATTTTTCCCCTTTTCCAGCGGGTGCCTTACCTCCCTTGGGCTGGGCCAGCTGGTGGTCGGCCTGCTCCGTCTCTGCCGCTTGCCAGCTACGCCTCGGCTGGCGCAGGGGGCGGAACCACGCATGTGCGGCGCTCCCGGGCAGGGAAAGTCCTCGACTTACGACCGGTTGGGTAGTCCTCGACTTACGACCGGTTTAGTCCTCGACTTACAACCAGTTTAGTCCTCGACTTACAACCAGTTTAGTCCTCGACTTACGACCGGTTGGGGGTTGTGGCATTAAAAAGGTTGAGAATCACTGGTCTACAGGACCTCGATTTTGGCACAGATGCCCTTCTTATCCAACGCAGTCTCGATCTGTGTTGGGACTTGAAGAAGGACGTCTTCACCTTTAGAGCTCTGGCACAGAACACCGTCTTCACAAGAAGGGGAGTTTTGTCAACAGTAAATAGCCTGTTCGACCCTCTAGGGTTTGCTGCACCTATAAGAGTCCAAAAGAGGCTCCTTCTGTGTGCACTCTCCCAAAGCACGGCAGACTGGGACGAGCCGCTTTTGCCAGAACAGAAGCAAGACTGGGAGATGTGGCGTAGATTCCTAAGTTGTCTCCAAAGCGTCCATGTACAGCGCATGTACATTCCCATTTCACCCGCTGCCGCAACGAAGAAAGAGTTGCATATGTTCTCAGATGCTTCAACGAAGGCAATAGCAGCTGTAGAATACATCAGAGTCTACGGTGGGAAGAGCCACATTTACGTCGGTTTCATCATGGTAAAGGCAAAACTAGCACCACAACAAGGTCATACCGTACCAAGGTTGGAACTCTGCGGTGCTATGTTGGCTGTAGAACTTGCAGACCTGATAACAAAAATGTTAGACCTTGAGCTGCAATTCATCACCTTCTACAGGGACAGCAAGGTGGTGTTGGGCTACATTCACAACCAAAGCAGGCGCTTCTATGTCTATGTAAGCAATAGACTGGAAAGGATCAGAAGGTCTTCAAATCCTGAGCAGTGGTGGTATGTGCCAACAGATCAAAATCCAGCGGACCAGGCCACACGGTCCATTCCTGCATCACAGTTGGCAGTATCAATCTGGCTAAAGGGTCCTGAGTTCTTGGCTCGTCCAGACAGCCTGATGTCACAGAAACCAGAACACTATGCGCTTCTAGACCCAGATCAAGATGCCGACGTTCAATCTCAGGCACCCAGCAAATTGCTCAGACAGGACAAGAAAATGACTGTCCAGACCATCTGCTCATCGACAATGGTCAAAGAGACAGAGAAACTGCCCTCTAACCAACCCCTAGGACCGGCTCGCTTCGAATGCTTCTCCAGATGGAGACTTCTCGTACTGGGCATAGTAGTGATTGTTCATTTTCTGCATCATGAGATAAGCTTCTCAGACAGCTATCTCCAAGCTGAGAGAGGGATTCTACAAAGTGTGCAACAAGATGCATACCCCACCGTATTTGAGTGTCTAAAAGCTAAGAAGCTCATCCCGGGGTCTAGTTCATTGCTGAAGTTGAACCCATTCCTTGATAGCCATAACTTACTTCAAGTGGGGGGGGGTGTCCAAATAAGCCTAAAATAGCCCCAAACATCAAGCACCCTATCATCCTTCCCGCTCGTCAACATGCAACGTGCCTGCTGGTCCAACACTACCACGAAACTGTTCACCATCAAGGCTGGCACTTCACAGAAAATGCCATCAGAGCTGCTGGATTTTGGATCATGGGAGCCAAAAGGTGCATCACTACTGTCTTCTACAGGTGCCTGCATTGTCGCAAACAACGGGGTACGACACAGCACCAGTTGATGGCTGACGTGCCACCCGAGCACCTTAGTCCCGGACTGCCATTCACCAATGTAGGCCTAGACATCTTTGGCCCTTGGTCCATGACTGCTCATCAGACCAGAGATGGTCAAGTCAACAGCAAACGTTGGGCCATCCTATTCACATGTCTTAGCATTCGAGCCATTCACATCGAAGTCATCGAATCCATGGACACCTCCTGCTTCATCAACGCTCTAAGAAGGTTCCAAGCCTATAGAGGCCCAGTTAAGGCATTTAGATCTGACCGCGGGACTAACTTTGTAGGAGCCTGCAAGGAATTACAGATTGACAAAGGCCTTGATTCGCCTTGATTCAGCAACTGACAAATACCTAAAAGCCCAAAACTGTGTATGTTCAATCCTCCCCATGCATCCCACATGGGAGGAGCATGGGAATGCATGATTGGCATAGCCCGCAAAATCCTGAATTCCATGTTGACAAAGACACCCATGCTGACGCATGAGATTCTCACCACCCTCATGGCAGAAGTGGTAGCCATCATCAATGCTCGACCTTTGTTTCCAGTTTCCTCGGATCCTGAAAATCCAACTATTCTCACCCCGACCACCTTGCTAACCCAGAAGACAGGCAACTGGCCAGCACTATTGGGAAATTTTGTTCCCAAAGACATGTATAAACAACAATGGAGACAACTTCAATTGCTCGCCAACACCTTCTGGAACCGCTGGAAGCAAGAATAGTTGTCTACCCAACAGGATCACCACAAATGGAAGACCAAAGAGCCTAACCTAGAAGAAGGAGACCTTGTCTTGTTGAGAGACAAGGATGCACATCAGAACTCGTGGCCTATAGGGCTTGTGCACCAAGTTCTACCCAGCTCTGATGGACTAGTTTGCCAAGTTGAAGTCCAGATCGTGAAGCCACATGAGTCATGTCATGACTCACAGACTCTCATTAAAAGGCTTTACACCAGACCGATCACCGACTTGGTACTGCTGCTGAGGAAGACCGAACTTGAAGATTGAACCACAAGTTATGCATGTTTTGTGTCTACCTCATAATTGTATTGTTTTGATGCTATGCCTTTGCTTATTTTAGTTAATAGTTAGTTAATAGTAGAAATTGTAAAATTCCAGACAGGGAGTGTGCTGGTCAGAGTATATAGCTATCTGGTCAGAGTATATAGCTAGCTTAGGAATTAAGAACTATTCCCTTAAGGCAGTGATGGCGAACCTTTTAGAGACCGAGTGCCCAAACTGCAACCCAAAACCCACTTATGCATCGTCGGGTGCCGGGTGGGCGTGGCCCATTGGGTGGGCGTGGCTGCGGTGGTAACAGCAGACTGGGTGGGACTAAAAAGTTCAATCAATCAATTCCAACTTTGCAAGATCTTTTTTTTTTCCGCCAGAAGTTGAAA